CAGTTGAAATAGAAAATTGTAGATAAAAGGAATAACAAAAGTTCAGTGTGTTTCACCGTACAGTTTTTGAAGCGATAGGCAGAAATATACGTCGGTTAATTGGGCGTACGGGAACGGCGTGGTGATGCACCAGTCAAATTGCGTCATTGACACTCCCATTGGTCGATCGGACGACAGCTGTCTGATTCGTCCTAGAAATTCAATCCCGAATAGCTTCACCTTGGGTGTCACGAGCTCGCTTGTGGTATGACGCGGATCCGTGCGCGGCTCGACAGAGCAATGGATGAGGATGCAAGTCTATTTTACCGTTTATTACATGAAGCAATCTAACAAATCATGCCAGTAGTCTTTGACTGCCTGAGCGTTACGTGCAATCTTATTGAGATTTTTCAAAACCTTTCGAAGCCATTGATCGATGGGAACCCTTTGGTTCTTCAACAGGCAACAAATTCTTAGCTAACCTCATGGTGACCAAGTATTGGTTTATTCTATGCTTTTTTAAATCCTATGCGAAGAATGCGTGTATTTGCAGCAGTAGATTTCACAATCTAACTACTTGTCATATCAGAGTAGTGAAGGATTTGATGCAATTTCAAAGAGGGAATTCATCGTGTGTAGAGCATCAAACGAAGCGTGAATTGAAAAGTTCAGAAGCACCGTACAACTGTCTTGACCTGGTTGGGTCTCATCGGCAGTGCGAATCCATCAATCCTAGATGGGGAGTGGAACTCAAGACCTCACGGATAGAAGGCAACTATACTACCCACTCGACCACTGGACAGCAGCTGTTCGATGGATTCGCATCGGACTGATGAGATTCAAGCAGGTTGAAACAATTGTGCAGTGCTGCATAGCTTTTGAGCTCATGCTTCATTTGCCTCTATACACGACGAATTCCCTATTTGAAGTTAAACTATCTTGACCTATACATCGTTCTACCGGTTCTATCGATTATGTAATGTAGTATATCTATTGGATAATCTCAAAGCACTCTGTCATTCGGAAATGCCTTCCCGATATATCACAAGCCTTTGAAAAACTGAGTATCAACAATGTGTATTTTAGATTGGGGGCGACCCGTATTTTGGTTCTGACACACTGTGATGGTTGAACTTTTGTCGTGGTAAATCACCGATATTCTTCCTGTAGAGTGTCAGTGTACAACTTGTCTGAGGAGATCAAAATTACGTGCACAAGAAGATGCCAGGAAATCTGCGGTATCTTCAACGGGTTTACTGAATTTTTTAACCCTAATTTAGCTTTGTTTCCTCATCTTTTAGCCTTGCCACATTGCTCCGTTACCACGTCCGGGAAAAGCTAATCCAAACGGTGATTGTGTTTCACTGGGGAGATGGAAGACTTAAGTACACATTCCGTCTCAGGGAATAATTTAATACATGCATTCGCATACGCCAGAACCTAGATCGTTTTCTATTCTGGATGCTACTACTTACAAGTAACTATGAACTAAATGCGAATTATCAATCCAGTGTGTTAGGTTTATCGCACGTCAGCCCCTAACCTGCATGGAAGTCCTGCCACGGTGGGAGGCTTTTGATTGGAGTCAGCAGATATCGGGCCAACAAAGAACAAACTGGCTATCTATAACTGAAGACGACCCCCGAAAAAAACATTAATTGGCAATTTAGTTTAGCCCTGGCATAAGCTGGTTGACACAGTGGCAACACAAGCCTTCCGTGCGATTGGTCTGGAGGTCACTGCCCGGAGGGGACGGTGGATGTGTACTAATGATGAGCTTTGATAAAAGCGAAACTCGAGTCTAGTACTTCCGAGTGTATTGTTTACTGGATGAACTTAGGATTATGCATGAATGTGAAATCCGAAGGATAGAGAGTCAGTCCAAATCAACGAAATTAAAAGCCTCGGAGCATGTTACCAAAGGAAATAGAGAATCATGTGTGTAAACTTCTGTGGACAAGTTTTACAGAAGAGTAACGATTCCCTTGGTACCATTGTAAATGCTTGTAGCAGAAAAATGTCACAGGTTTTGTATTTGAGGGCAAATAAATACGTGAAGTGGTCCTCAACAGTAACGAAGTTGTTTGATATTTGGTGAATTCATCCAATTTATATTCCTCAAATATCTAACCGGTAAAGCTCCTCTATGTTTGTAGCTTGTACGCTTCTTTACTATCAAACAGCGGGGATGGAGGCAAACACGGAGAAACAGAGAGAATAACTAGAGTTGTTTTGTTCTGACTCATTGTCACGTCTTTGCAATTGATTCTCTCTCTCCGTGGATGCGTCACTCCAAATCCTGGAGCTCAGATTTCCAGATCTCTGGACTCATCAGTCCGTCTTTTCGACTGTGGTATTCACGCTTCTGTCACTCAACTCTTAGCGATAAAACAAGCACAATTCTTATGTGTGGTGTCCACCGAATGCCATCGAATTATTACACATTGTACTTGAAATTCCCTCCCTCGCTGCTCGGAATCACTGTAACCGACTGTAAACGTGCTTCCAGGAGCAGCTGAGCTGAAGGGTTCAAAAGCAAAATGGTAAAGCGGATGAAAAGCTAGCCGGTGTGGTATGACTAGAAAATCATCCAATAAATAAATAATAATAATAACAATAAATTTTACTTGATCCACGATCAGTAAATATATATAAGTGATTTGACGGAATATTAGAAATCGGTTCTTGCCGCTCGGATGAACAAAAGATGCCTCCTCGGCGGGTGATGAAATATTTGCCGACAAATCACGGAGCTCGGCGAATAGACAAAATGGATTTCTGCTATTTTGCAATCTCTTTATTATTTTTAGTGGTAATACCGTAAGATATTTCCGTTGGTGTATGAATATAGTAGAAACTCAAGCAATTTTGGTCCCGCTTTATCGCTTTAGGTCTCTGTACGAGTATAGGTTTATTAGAGAACAGATTGGTGACTAGCGGGTGTTTGGTGTTGAACGTGTGTGTGTGTGTGTGCACGTTCAACATACTCAGTTGGTCACTATAGTTATGAGGTCATGGGGAAGGAAACAGGCAAAGCACTATTGGACAAACTCATTCCCAGTAGCTCACAATCGCCGAGGCTCCATGAATTGGCAAGCATTTACAAACTAAAAGTACCACCAAGAACAGTGATTATTAACACACAATTCAGGCGAAGATACGTTTTCGGTGAATTCCTTTTCAAGCCTTTACAATCACATTTACATGAAACAATTTCAACAGAGTCAGACAGAAAACTGGATGAGTAATGTGTCTGGTAATGAGTCCGAGAGAACTCCAAATTTGTACGCTGTTTGAGTTACGTAACCAAAAGTCGCTATGCTACATCATTTTCAGGTGGACAGGTGGTTGTCTCTCCCCTTGGCCGGGGGAGTTTGAGAGCTTGGATCCGATTTCGTTGTGCGTACAGCTCAGGTTGGATGAATCGGATGCTAATCGCCTCTGCAGTTTCTAACGTCCGAAACCGCATTGCTCTCGAGAGTTGTGGTGAAACTCGATAAATGCTTACAAATGCCGAGTGCATGTTAACCAAGTGTCCCGTCTATACCAGATGAGCGGTGATCGAGCTTGACATAGGGATTATTAGGGCCAATTCATTCTATCATTTTACAGTAAAGTTTGGTTGTGGAAATTCTGAACCGGTTTACAAATCGTCGGTCAAATAGATACACGTTTGTGAAGGATTCGTTCGCATTCCAAATCGTGTTGCACAAGTTTTCGTTTCATAGGTCAAATATTTTTGCACCAGTGTATCACTCTTAAGTACGGTACAGTTGAATTGAAAACCACATCGGTATCTGAACCAATGGTTTATGAACAATCCAATAAAATCCAACAAAACAGTGTTTCCAATGCAACATACGACCGATAGAAAGATGGGGTGTCCTTGAGATTACCGCTTGGAATAACTCTGGAAGATGTGTGTGTGTGTGTGTGTGTTTAGCAGCCATGTTCAAACATGGACCACTGAAGAACACTGTCGATAATTTAGGAAAATGATATAGACATGCACAGTGTGCTTATCGTTTAGAATTTGTCGGCAAACATTTACAAACTTCTCCAGAGGTACAAAAAGGATAATCTGCGCGCTTTCCTGTATGTTGAACTTTTTCAAACGTGGTTGGTCATACGAAGAGAAGTTTATTTTGATGGGTGCGCTTAGATAAGACAGCACACACACACATGTGTTCTGAGTTTTGTCTGATGGCGATACAAACGGGATTTAGTGAGCTTTCTACTCTTCAGGACTAATGGAATACGAAAAATAACCCGGATATCCGGAACCATTTATTCTACGGAACATAAAAGTTAAATAAAACACATTAAAAACGAAAATCATGAAAGAGAGTAGTCTTTAGGATGGTTCCGCTCGTCTGGCTTATGCCAGTTTACGTACATTTTTAGTGCTCGTTATATCAAACCCAACAAGGCCATTGTTTGACATAATGAGTGTATATTGTTCAAACACTCTGGGAAAATTAACAGTATGGAACTTGAACAGCTCTATTCAGATGAAGGGGCTAATGAGCTTGTTTGCTATCTGTGAGGTCCTGGGTTCAACCCTCAGTTGGGTCAGTGAATTCGCTAGGTCAGCTGTTCTAGTGAACAGGGGACCGCAAAGCTACCTACCGCGCTCACGTTGGGTGTCGGTGGTGAGACTTTATCTCAGAATACAAGGTTCAAAACAGGCCGGTGACAGCGAACTCTCCAATTGACAGGTATGTTGGACCAGAAATTTTGCAATCGGGTCTTTTTCTTGCTAGCGCTGAATGTGAAATCCAGACTAAAGACTTTTCTTAATCAGGTAATCTGAATTGTTAGTAGTAATAATAACAATATATATCATATTGGTGGCCTTCAATTGAATTTTACTTACAGGAACAACTCCCATAAGTCAGTGGCCAACAGCATACGGACGAATCATTGTCAAACGGGCCCCGGAAATTCTTCCCGGTTTGATGTCCCAAATTGTCACCGAAGGGGAATCACTGACACTGGTCTGTGAGGCGCAAGGCTCTCCAGCCCCGATGATCAGCTGGACTCGAGCAAATGGACGGCCTTTATCTCTGCCTGGATTTCCACAACGAATTTATGTGAGTCAGGTTGACTTGGATGAAAAATATACGATCTCCGGGTTAGAGGCAGAAAAATAGGATACAGTAGATCGTTAGGTGATGGTGAAAAATAAAACGGACAGCTATCAGTTCATTGAACATGCTAGTCCTCGTGATGATTTGTGCTTCGTGGTTGACGACTTATGAAAATTGTGGGCAGGCTATCCTAAACGGTAAGTTTGGTACTGTGTTCATAATCTGTCGACGATCTGCCTCCCTCCTCCCTCCGGGATGCTACAGATAACTTAAAAGGGAACTAAAGCAGTCAATTGTGAATTACGGTTCCCGTGGGTAATTGGGTTTACGGAACTCGCATAGACAGGTTTGATATGCGTATCAAGGACCTAAAGCAAAACCTTAAAATACGAAAGGGCAATAAGCGCGATTCGGGGTCTAATCTTGGACCAGATCTCACAATACTCTGCGGACGGACGATTGTGTGTACGAAATGAAGTTTGCCACTTCACAGACTGGGGGAATTCCTGGTACTGTGGTTAGTCATGAATTGCAGATTATCTACACAAAAGTTATTGGAGTTGCTTTCGCACTTACACTTCTTACAGACCAAGATTGGGGCTCGCAGAGATAACTTCCAGACGTGAACGGGTAGGCACAAACGAGCAGTCTGTCTAAATACAGTGAAAATTTCAAAGGTAAATTCGTCGTGTATATAGCAAACGAAGTGTGAACTGAAAAGCTAGGGAGTACTGGGCAGCTGTTTCGACCACCAGTTGGATCGCATCAGCAGTGCGCGAATCCATCGACCCAACTGAAGAACGCGAACCCGGGATCTCACAAGCAGAACGCAAGCATGCCACCCACCCGGCCACCCCGGGGCAGCTGATCAGACCGTTTTTCATTTTCCATTTACACGATATAGCACAACCCATCATTGCTAGTCATAATCCGGAAGCTAGAGCTGAGATGAGCGAGGTCTGTGGCTTACAAAACGATCGCAACGATGGGTTGTGCTATATCGTGTAAATGGAAAATGAAAAACGGTCTGATCAGCTGCCCCGGGGNGGCCCAGTGGGTAGCATGCTTGCGTTCTGCTTATGAGGTCCCGGGTTCGCAATTCTCAGTTAGGTCGATGGATTCACTCACTACTGATGAGACCCAACTGGTGGTCGAAACAGCTACCCAGTACTTCCTAGCTTTTCAGTTCACGCTTCATTTACTATATCGCCTTTGAAATAGGATCAAATTCTCTATTACTCACTTGAGACATTTTAAAAGTCATAAAAAACAAGAGGGAGAAAGTACCGGTCAGAACAGGGATGAAAAAGTATAACCTACACGAGTAAAATTAATTCTGCAGTACGCTTTCCAGTCAAGTTTATTGTCATATTCACCGGTGGCGAATTGAAGGCAAAGTACTTGAAATTTGTTTCCGTTACTTGGTAACTCCCTGAAATGGAATGCTGGATGGGAAAACTACGTACACCCGGGGTGGAAGATGGTAAAATATCTGTATTTACGATAGAAATACTTGTGAAGACCGACAAGGAGCACTGGGTGACTGTTTCGTTCTGTTCGGGATTCGTCAGCAGTGTGTGATTTTTGTGTCCATGCACGACTCGAACTTCGATCATTCGGGTCGAGACTTCAAATCCTCACCTCTGAGCTACACGGTCGACGGTCATCACCTTATGCGAATGGCTCAATCAATTTTTAGAGTATCAAGCTTGATTTGATTGCTCAGAGGCACCAAGCAGTCTTGATGGTCTGGGGTGTGGATTTCACTCTTTGGAAAATCGTTCATTCCCCAGGAGGTAAAAGCATTCAAATCCGATGGAAATGCTTGTGATGACCGCCAATGGTGACAAGTCCCAAACAGGACGAAACAGCTATGCGGTGCTATTTGTCGGTCATTACGGGCATTTCCATCGTATTTGAATGCATTTACCTCGTGGGGAATTAACGACCTCCCAAAGGGTGAAACTCACATCCAAGACCATCTAGAGGGCTTGGTGTCTCTGAACGATCGATTGGGTTAACCCAAGCTTGATAATTTAAATCTGCATTTAATTCACAGCTACTCGTGAGTGGTGTTGCGGGATAATTGATTGGAAAAGACCATCTTCCAAGTAGCAAGTAGCTATGAGTTGAATGCAAATCATTAACCCAGCCCAGTATGTTTGTGGCCTGCTAACCCGTAACCTGCATGGAAACCCTGACTCGGTAGTAGGCTTTCGAATGCAGTTAACAGATAGTCTGTTGTGCCTTCCGTCGTTGCTGTCAGATTGAACTGACTTTCACTGAAGATGACATCTGAAAAAAATATGAATTGGCGATTCAGTTCAACCGTGGTTGTCAAAGTAGTAATGTATACGATAAGTCTGGAGTTCAAAGTCTGGACGGAACGGTGTATATGCACTGTTGATGAGCTCTATTAAGATCGAACCTCAATTGTATTGCTTCCGTGTGTATGGTTAACTGGAAGAGTTGAGTTATGTGCCTGAAGGATGGTCAGTTCCAATCAATTAATGAAAAAAATAATCAGCAAAAAGTGGCGGGGAAGATATTTATACCAGGCACCGTTTAAACTTTTTAATTTTTTCCAGTATTTTCTGTATCGATTTCCAGTGATGAGGAACTGTACGAGTTCGTAGGTAACTTGTCGCAGTCCTTAAGAATCTTCTGGTTCAGTGCAAGAATCCTTTTATTTCTCTTCGAGGGATCTTTGCACGTTGGCACATCTGGCTGTCAATCTTGAATTGGAGGATAAAGCCGACTATTGTAAAAAAAAGTTCATTAGAACACAAAGAAGACAAAGAGACTACGCGAGACGTTAACATTTCTTTTAATCTCCTCAGTCGCTACAACTAAAAACACAATCTGGTATTTGCACAATAAAGTTTTGATAACTACAGTAGTTAAACTGCCAACGGTTGGGGGAGGAACACTCGGAACCAGCTCCATGGCAATTTGACTGATTGCATCAGAAACGTTTGCGCGCCAAAAGAATGTTTGATCGTTCTAGGGTTTGTGTAAATTACAGCCGTCCTAGTGTTAGCTTAGATGAAGTTTCTGTAGAGACGGGCAAGAACTCAGTTAGGTTTGAATGTCACTCTGGGCTGAACTGTTGTATTTACTGTCCTACGACCACTCTAAGTGATAACAAGTGTGCCACTTATTAGAAAATAACATACAAAACGGAAATCTATACGTTCGCACTTACGGTGGATTTTACTGAAACTGGTTACCTGATACCAGTCAAGTGGTCCATTTTGGAATGTGATTCTCTTCGCCAGTTCGAAAGTGTTCCAAAATGGTGACTGAACGCTGCTCGTGTACTTGGTACTCAACTTGGCTAAGTTTCAGAGTCTTGTGTCTAGCAGCTACCGTTGTCTCATTCGGATCTGAGTGATGATCAGAGTGAAATATTTAACCAGACTATACGATACACAGACACCAGGTTTCAGCCCTCGGATTTCATTCTTTCGATATTTGTCGGAATGTGCTTAGTACCCCAAAGGAAACCAGTATTTATGGTTGTTTGGCAAGTGTTTGCTGAGCGTATACGAGTGGCGTTCTTAGTAACAGGCTTTATTTTACTTTCGGTTATTATGGATTTCTTTTACAAGACCGCATTGAAAAAATGGGGTTGCAGAGACTTCATTCAATTAGTTATTGGTTAACGTTTTAGGTGTACTATAATAAAGACGAAATTTGATATCATCCAAGTTAACAAAATCTCTCCAAAGGTTTTAGAATTTTAGTAGGAAATTCAAACCAGGTCAAGACAAGCCTGTCAAATTCAGGTACGCTTTGTTTACCAAGAATGCAATTTACCATTAAGGATAGGACATCATATCGTAGTTTCACATCCGTTCCACCTGTCACTTGTGTTCTTGTTACCCAACCCCCCATCAGAATTCTACACTCTATTTGCCCAAAGTTGCCCGTGACGACCGTGGCGTGTATCGGTGCTATGCGGTGAACAATGTGGCAGGTTCGGCGCAATACGATGTCATGGTTGAGGTGAACTATGCCCCCTATGTTAGGGTAGCTCGGTTCAAAGGAGCCTATGGTCAGGTCAGTCGACGTGATGTGTAGCTGTCATTCCCACTTTGTCGATTTATACCATCTTTTCAGTTCACCTTAAACCCTGTGTGATACTACTCATTACTTTAGTGTATCTCTAAAGCAGAAATTGCTCACTATTACTGTTCTCAGTTCTCTTGTAGCTGTTGAATCATATATTCATATATAAAATAGATTGTTCTGATTAAACATCTGCATTACTGGATCAACTATTCGATGAGTTGGTACACTAAAAAAGCCTTTAAAAGTGATAGTCAATACTGACAGATATTATCTTTTCTCCCGAAAGGGTAAAAGCAAAGCTCTTGGCTTTAAAGAAGAACTCATCACCGGGTCTAACTAACATACATCCACAAGCCCTTATCACTCTGGAAAGCCACATAGCTGATCCTTTAAGTGGACTATACCAAAAATTGTTTGAAGATATTGTGCTTCCTCAGTTGTGGCAAAACGGTGTTATTTCACCACTTTACAAAGGTGGATGCCGTACTGACCCAGCCAACTACCGACCCGTCACTCTCCTTCCAGTGTTGTCCAAAGTCATGGAATCCATTGTTGCGGATTTTGTAATGGATCATCTGGAGAGAAATAGCTTACTATCTCCAGCCCAGCACGGGTTTCGGAAAAATCGGTCATGTGCAACTAACTTGATTTGGGCTCGGGACGATTGGACCCATGCTATAGACCAAAGCAAAGCTGTAGGTGTTATTTACCTGGACTTCTTTAAGGCATTTGATAGGGTAAATCATCAGCTACCGACCCGGAAACTTATAACTATGGAATCCGTGGACTGTGCTTGACTGTATTAAGGAGTTTCTTCGACTACGTACCATGTCAGTTCATGTTTCCGATGCACTTTCTGATCTAATAGATATCAGCTATGGGTTCCATAGGGATCTGTGCTAGGCCCACGTCTTTTCCTCGCATTTATAAATAATCTTCCAGACGTTCTCGGACCAACTACTCTGTTTTTTGCAGACGATGCCAAAATACGGACGACAATAACAAAACCAGAACATTTATTAGATCTCCAGAACGCCCTTGACGAATCTCACGGATGGTCTGTCTCCAATGACATGGAATTTAACGTTACCAAATGCTAAGTCTTATCACGACGTCACAATGGTCGTTTTTCGTACACTCCCGGACACGAAACTCCACCTCATGCTCCATCCGAGAAGGATCGGGGAGTAGTCATTCGCACAGACNCACAGACTTGGGTTGCTCCACAAACTGTTCCAGGGCATCGTCCATGGCGGTAAAACAGGTTGGACTGCTCAAACGTGTTTTTGGGTCGTTTTAGCCGGCTTTGTTTCCACGTCTGCTAGCCACATATATCCGTCCATACACCGAGTACTCGATTCAGGCCTGGAACCCATGGCTGCAGCGAGATCGGAAGGCACTTGAACATCCGCAGAGAATGGTCAAAGGTCTACATTCCAAGACCTATGGCGAAAGATTACAGCTCTTGGGGCTATAC